TTGTCAAAGCATCTGAGTATGGTGCATCGGAAGGAGAGGAACACACGCTGGTTGACCATGACTTTTTAAACAATCTAACCCCTGGCTACGATAGACCATGGTGCGGGGATTTGGAGAAAGGAGAAGGTGATGATGACGATAATATCACATCTCTCATATACAACAAAAAGAAACGGGAAACTTTTGTAAAACGCGTGCAGGTAGGTTCCACGCCCAAAACTTTGTCTTGGATGATCAGCTGACGTTACCTAGCAAACTATTCTCATGAATCCTTATGTTCCCCTTATTTTTCGACTTATTGTGCTTATAACTTCTATCATCGCCTTGAGCATCGCAGCCTCAGTTCATCATCTTTCGAATAAATATTCATATTCTCAAAGTCCATCTACAACTATGGCAATTGTTGTAGATGTAATTGCTATCCCGTATACTCTCTACATGACTTGGGATGAATATACAGGCAAACCTTTAGGCCTTCGGGCACCGAAAGCCAAGATCCGACTCGTTCTTTTAGATCTTTTTTTCATTATTCTTGAGGCTTCTAATTTGACCCTAGCATTTGATGCGATATCAGACAGCAACGGAAGCTGCAAAGTCGGAAACACGGGGTATAATGGCGTGGTTTGCCATAGAGCTAAGACGCTCTGTGCTATAATAATGATAGCATTGATTGCATGGGGAATGACTTTTGCAGTTAGCATATTCCGGTACGTTGCCTTGCTCGAAGACTTTTTTTACTTGTTGCTAATGATCTCAGACTTGTAGAAAGGGTGGGTGGTCGAGAAGAGGCTGAATGAGTGTGTCTTCAGCCTCTAACTCCTCAGACAATATTATTTCCTTTAGTAAATCTGGGGCCATATAAGGCAAGGCGTTGGGTACATGTCAGTCGTGTTGAAAATTAAAAAAAAAAGCAAAATTTGTACATCTGAAACTGTTCATATGTCAGCGAACATGGGGGTTGAAGCAACTTTGCTCACCCTACTTTCTCTCGTTTCAAACTCTAATATCCCATTGCCATTGGCAATAGGGGCAGATGAGAACGCCTTTTCCTTTGTTGTACCATGATCTAGATTCAGAACATGAAAAGAAAATACCAAACGCCAATCAGGATGTTTTAAGCCATCAAACGCCTATCATCTACTTTATTCACATACAATTATTTCATCTAATTAAAGTTTGGCCAGGTATTCAAACAAATCTAATAATATCTATATCTCTAAAAAAATCGAAACAATTCCCCTCATGCACTTCATCTAGTCGAACAAGCAGGTGTTTCCCATACAGCTCTCTGTATTTGTATCATGCACAAGTTCTATATGTATTAGAGACTAATATTTTTAGGTCATAATGAACAGCCAAAAAAGAGTAACTCCATAGCCTTGTATTTCAAGATTAATTATTCACACAGGTTTCTTACATCTACATCTCTTTTCCCATTGTTGAAAATATATACACAAATTGCCGGGTAGTCTTCTTAATTTACTAATCCATATAATAAACGATCTAGATCACATCCTGGCCATGCTTACGTAATCTTGCCTGCATGTAAAACGGCAATTCGCATGCAGCTTGATGGCGACCAACCTAAATTTCCCATCCCAAATGGAATCGATTTTTACATCTTTGTCTTCGTCTTTTTTAATCTAACAATACTAATCATAGTACACGATTACTACTTTGAGCTTATTGGATCTAAAAGTCGGAGAGGTTCATATATTCAGGTCATCGTAAGATCTTACATGTAGTGAGTTGCCGAGGAACAAAGACATTCTCCATATCAAGTCAAGTGCTGGAATTTTGATGTTTCTGTGAAGGAGACAAATACGATCAAGCTGTGTAATACCGAGGCTTTCAATAAGAAAACGCGCGGTATAAATTAACAATCGCAGTGTATTTGGGAAGCAATACCAGCAAGCTTAGGGTACATCATGACCTTGCGCACTAAGCCATAACGATGGCGGGCAACAATTCTGGACTCGGCCTTGTGAAAAATAGCAACTCTTTGACCAACGGCGATAATAATAGCAGTTTTATTACCCCGAATAACGAACTCTCGGGACCTGGCCTACTCAGAATTGGGAAATACAAATTTAGAGCAAAGACAGATGATCTACCACAGTGCGGTTACTTGATCTTCTTCACCAAATTTTACACACTAACCATTGATTCGATAGAGATTGGTGGGTTGCATCAACGGCTTTTCCTCTCATTGCTGCGACGATTGGACCTTTGGCAAACGTTTTGTCCATTTCCGCTCTGGTCACGAAATGGAGAGCTGATTTACCTGATGATGGTCAATTACCATCCGGTGCGGATGAAAATGGAGTCGGCATACCTGATCCAGAGTGGTGAGAGATATATGCCAAATTCAAGAATGTTACTGATTTAAAATTTTAAGGGAAATTATTCTAAATGCTATTTCGCTTGGATGCGGGTTCGCCGGGAACCTCTTCTTGCTCTTAAATTTTATGCGCAGGGTCAGGTATATTGTCGCATTGCCGCTATCGATAATCTTCTGGTATATATCTACTGGCATCGTAAGCCTCAAGCTGTTGTCATATTTACTTCAATTCTGACAGGTATCACAGCTTATAGGTATCTTAGTCGCCATGGATGTATACGCCCCTGTTCGCCCAGGTCAAACTTGGTCTCAAGGATTTTGGTCCGCGGTTATGGCAGCTTCATTATATCTGATTGGGTCAATAGTTCTAATGGTAAACATGCTCGGCTACTTTCTTGGACATTATCCACAACATTTTGAACTCGACGATGACCAGAGGACTCTCATCTTACAAACCATGATGTTCTTCATATGGCTAGCTGGTGGAGCTGGCATCTACCAGAAAGTCTGTGGTTTCAAATACGCTGATGCTCTTTACTTCTGTGATGTCACAATTCTGACAGTTGGCTTCGGAGATTTCGTACCCAATAACAATCTAGGCCGGGGCCTTCTTTTCCCATATGCTGTCATTGGTATCATATTCCTTGGTCTTATGATTAACAGTTTGCGCAAGTTCGCATCAGGTATGTCACAGGACAAGATTGTCAAGCATCATGCAATGCGTCAGCAACAGGAAACCTTCGGTCGTTCGGTTACAAATGAGAAGGAAATTCGTGACCGTCTCGGATTACCCCCTAGATCCCCCACACGTCGGCGTAGTACGGTTGAGAACTCTTCCGAAGCTCCACAATCAGGTCTAGGCCGTCGATCTTCGCTTGGGAAATATGGTCATTTCGATGTTCAAGGTCAAACAATTACTTTTCATCAAAAAAGGGTCCATTCATATGGCGGTCGAGGGGGAGCTGGCCGATCACGCAATTCATCTATTCCTCTAAGTCACGACCCTAAGCTCCAAAAACGGGCGGATAACAAGTCTCCGCGTGTGAAGCGTCGAGAGAAATTAATTTTACTTCGAGAAGAAAAGGACCGTTTTGATGCTATGCGTGAAATCCAGAGTAATGTCCGAAAATTCAAGCAATACTACGCATTGTCCATGTCCATCTTTGCCTTCTCTATCCTATGGTGCGGCGGCGCGACTGTGTTCTGGAAAGTCGAGAAACGTGAACAAAATTTGACATACTTCGAGGCCTTATACTTCTGCTACGTGTCGCTTCTAACTATTGGGTATGGCGATTTTGCACCAAAATCGAACGCTGGAAAGCCCTTCTTTGTTGTTTGGTCTCTGATCGCAATACCTACAATGACAATCCTTATCTCAGATATGAGTTCTACCGTCATAGCAGCCATTAATCGTGGTACATTTACACTTGCAGATTGGACAATTATGCCCAAGGCAGGAGTCTGGCATGACTTTCTGATGAATCATCCAAAGTTACACGAATGGTTGTCCAGGAGGACTAAAGAACGAGAAGCTAAACAGCGTATTCGTCATGGATTTGAAGTGCAAAACCCAGATGATCGACAAATATCCATAAGCAATGAAGCCGAGCCAGACCCCGAATCTACTTCTCTTGGTCAGGTCATTGAGGACGTCGAAGAACCTTCTGAACACACGGAACATGATCTAGCCCGGAAATTAGCAACATCTATCAAACGCGTTACAAATGATTTGCGAGCAGACAAACCCAAGAAATATAGTTATGAGGAGTGGGTAGAGTTCACGCGGTTAATCAGATTTAGTGCGCATAATGCAAAAGATGTAGAAAGGGAAGAGGATGATGAGGGATTAGTCGAGTGGGATTGGATCGGCGAGGATAGTCCGATGCTAGCAGATGTTAGCGAGACTGAGTGGATATTGGATCGGCTGTGTGAGAGTCTGAATAGATATACTAGGCGTCAAGGCAGGGCTTCCCGACAAGAACAAAAGGAGATGAAAAGGTTACAGGATGGAGAGAAGAAGCATCTTCATCGGGAGGCGCATCACAATATGCATTATCCACCACATCCTGGACCAAGAACACCACGTTCGGACTTGAGAAGGAATTCTGTGCCAATTGATGGTGAGGATAGCACAAATTTACAAGGTGCTTCGATTTCTGATCAAAAGAATGATGAGGAAATTGACAATGAGGAAAATTAAGGGGTAGAGCGTCATATTGTCTTTATCGATGATGTTGGTGACAAGAAAGTAGGAAGTGAAATAATCCCCAACAATAGCGGGATTGGAAGTGCTAGTGCAAGTAAAAGTCTTCTCCAGCCAAGCTCCGATGTCTCTAGAAGCAAAAACGAGGATGAAGATAAAGATGCGATTGAAGAGTTCGTAGATCATGCAGACAAATAGTCATGAAAGGAGTGCGTCAAGAGGATGATGGTTAGTTAATGAGCGAATAGTGTAATGTACTTGTAATATGTTGTTTCTTTTTGCTGGATACTTGTACAATTGTATATTAAACTTACTTTTGAGTGTGATAAATGTATCCTCGATACAATCTACAGGTGGATATACTGATTTTGGAGTTGAGCTGGAATAAGTATTGTTTACGGGTTTATAAATCATGATGTTGAAAGATTGAGATATATTTATTTAAAGAAATTTAATGATTTATATTTTAATATATATAGTAATATAAAAATATGAGATAAATTATATTATAGTAGAAGTAATATAATATCTTATATTAAATAGTATTTTATTAATTAGATTTAGTCTTTAAATAAGTCTTGTAATATTTATACTCAATAATAATACAGATAGATATAAGAATTTAGATTAGATTCTTGAGATGTTTATTACTGGATGTGATGGGTGAGATGTATTTGATATTTGAATTCTGAATTTTTTTGATGGGAGGTTTTGAGGTTGTAGCCTTAGTTCTATGGATTACTGGGTTGGGTCCAGGGTGGGTTATGTATGAATGGATGTATTGTTAATTGGATGATATTCTTATTATGGAGTGATTTAGATGCGAGCGCGCTTTTTTTATAAGTTGGTATAGGTATGATATGTTATATACAAAATTGATAATACTGAAACTATAAATCAATATTCAGCCTGCCCCGTAAGCTGTCTGAATTTCCCAGCAACCCTCAAAGTAAACTAAACTAATACGCAAAAGAAACTGGGATATCAAATAACGCCTTTCCATTTTCCATTCCTTGCACGAATCATCTACTACAACAATAATCCCAACCCAACAAAAGCAATCAAAATGCTCCATCCAGCACCACTCTTCGAGTTCGCAGCACCACTAATACTATCGCGCTTGGCTTTGAAACCGAAGCCCGTACCACTGAATGGCGAGGCGGCTTTTTCTGTTTTATTATCTCCAGTGGAAGGTGCAGTGGTTGTGGAAGTGGTAGTGGTAGATTGACTGGAAACTTTATCCGTGATGAATTTGGCAGCTGCGGTACCGTATCTCGTGACATATGAGAGATGTACTTGGACGGACATGCCTGAGTCACAGAATCTATGGGAAGTGTGTTAGATTTTGGGGAAGATGAAGAGATATGGGAGGAAAGGGAACTTACGTGTCGCCGGTGTCGCAGTAAGAAATTGATTTTTCGGCAGGACAACTAGCTATATTTTTACGGGGAAACAGTCCGTTCTTCTTTGATGTTCCTGCGTTGAAGGTTTCTTCGGGTACATGGGTTGGATCGCCCATTAGAACCATTGCAACGACTAAGACTTCTATTAGTAAATGCTCCAGAGTGAAATGGTAAGAGAAACGCTGGTGGATTATAACATACCTTTACCAGCAACATCCGCAGACAAAGCTTGACTACCACCAGTAGATCCCATGATTCCCATTCCCGAAGAACCACACATGACATCAGCTGAAACGTGCGCTCCCTGAGAGTATCCCATAACGGCCATCTTAGAGTCGGGACATCTCGCAGCGTAATCTTGCACGAGTTTCTTCATGGCGGTTACACCAGCTGCTTGTGAGGTTTGATATTGACCTAGTGTAGCTGGATATACCACTGCTTCCGAGTCGGAACCTGGGAGTCCGGCTTTAACCTTGGTGGCCACAGAGCCGATGATCCCCTCTCCTGCGGGTTCAGTACTCGCTCGAGCGATTATCATGTGTACCGCACCGGCTCCAACGCAGGTGCCGCCTGTACCACTACTAGCAGCAGCACCACCACTCAGACCTGCACCGAGACCACTACTAGCGTCTAGACCACCACCGGCACCTCCGCCGAGACCACCACCGAGAAGACCACCACCAAAAAGACCAGCAAGACCACTACCAGCGCCAAGACCGCTGCCACGGCCGAGGCCACTACTAGAACCGAACAGAGCTGATGCTGAGGTTGAAAGGCATAGGCCTAAAAGAATAGAAGATGAATGCATTTTGATTGTAAAAGAGTGATAAACAATGAAGCTATTGTCGGTATTGAATGAAAGACTAAAGATTGAATGACAGATGAGTGATGGAGAATTCAATGGGAAATGGGCATCTTATAAACTTTCTTCAATCCTTCGGGTCAAACGCTACAACAGATCATCTTTAGCTTTTTCCCACGACATTTCCATTCTTGGGCAACTCAACGAATGGAGATGCGACGTGCCGAGGAGTAGAAACGTCCGTATGCATATTGTGGCTGATGATAAGCATTAATCTATCTGATGTGCTAGTACGATGATGTAGATCACCCGTATTCTGGGGATGATTAGATTGAAAAGATGAGGCCAAGAAGAGTTTCTGTCAAACCTTTTCTTTCGCGATAGAAACCCGATTAGGAAGGGATCCGTTCTAGGTTATATTCACGTGATCGATATTGGCGAAACAACCTTTCTAGATGAACGCCGTGCGTTTCAATACCGTTACCTATGCTGCCAAGTTTCATGCACTCAGGGATTACAGACGAAATATCATGAATCTGAAGTTTAGTTCATCTGGTTGTGCCCAATCGCAACTTTGCTTTTGACTTTATGTGCACACACTCGTGGGTTGGTAGTGGAACATTGATTTCCTTTATGTAAGGTTAGTATGCATCCCGAATTAGAAACCCACTAGAAGGAACAGTAGAATTCTTCTTGCGCCATCATTCTGAGGTAAAATTGACGACATTGTTGATTTAGCCAATTTTTCACTACAATTTGTGAGGTCAGTTTTCATAGTTTCCATATCCTTAGGTAACAAACGCCTTGGCCAGCTAGGACTTGATCAATCACTTACCTAGGCCCATACTCTTCGTTTATGGAAAGCAATATATTCCAAAACAGGTGATTGTCACTCTCATGCTCTGTTGGATGTAGCGAAGAAGCATACCCCTCGATTCAAACTTAAGTAATGAATTCGTGGCATAGTTGAACTGTAAGTACCTAAGTCTAGTACCCCCCTTTTGGGCCACCCTTTTACACCAAAAATCATAATTTTCAACTATTAATAACTTTACAACCAATCGATAGAATTTGATATAATTTGAATCATAGATTCAATATATAGTTATAAATCAATTTTGAAAATTTCGGATTTTTTGAAATTGATTTCATCAAAATCTATAACCTTAAAATTTTTCATTTTCCATTTGTATAGGATTTATATATACATTTAAAAAATCTTGAAAACCTTCAATAAATTTTCAACAAAATTTACTAAAAATAAACTATAAACTTCTTTCAAATATTTATATTATAATTGATCAATGAATTAATTCATTTTGAAAAATAATTTACAGAAATTCTTTTAATCAAAATATTGTGATTTTTAATCTTTGTAAAATCTAGAAATATAAATAAAAGTTTTTCTATATAATTTAATATTCAAAGTTTCAATTTATTATATAACATTTAATTCAAAGATTTAGAAAAAAATTGTAGTTTATTTTTAATAATTTTTGTTGAAAAGTTATTTCAAATTTTAATGTTTTTCAAATTTGTATATAAATGTAACGATCTGGTTGAGGCAGCGGCTGCCTCAGGTTTTTGTATGGTTAGTAGTTGTAGGTTAAGGTTAATAATCATTGGTTATTTATTCGAAGGTGAATATGTTATTAGATCAATTGGAATATAGGTAAACTAATTGATAACTAAATTGAATATGAAGCTTCTAAATTATGAAACTATTCTGATTATATATTAATGAATATAAAAAAGCTTTGTAGAGTTTTAAAACTTCAAAAAACTTCTAAAGTTTTAAAAACTTTCAAAGTTTTTAAAGCTTTTTATTATATAATTAGAATCAGATCATATATCCGAGTTTGTTAAAGATAAAAAGATTATATAAAACAATTACTATATAAATTTATATATAAATTATTTTGTTTTTCGATAAGATTTAAATTTATATAGATATATTGATTGTTGTTTTTCAATATATTCTTATCTTAATTGTAAATTGTAATATTATTCCTTTTTTAATTAAATATTGTTTCAATTGTTTATAATTCTTCAAGTTTCTGTTACAAGGTAATAGTCAACCTGTCTATATGAGTTTAGGCCTTATCAAAAAGCGAAGCAAGTTGTATACAAATTTGTATGGTAAGTGCTTCATATGGTCTCCCCACCCTTAGCAAGCTCGGACATATGGTCTGATCATAGTTATGTGATGGATCATAGGATCTAGGGGATCTAGAGAATCGTATTCTAGATCTATTAGATCCTTATGATCCAATTGATACGAAGGTTTATATAGCTAGGAAAGGATTCCTTTTGTAGAGCTTCGTGTTCAAGATCAATCATTTAGTATAATCTATTATTAGTTACGAATTGCAACTATTGATATTACTTTAAAGCTCCTGCTTGACGTCTAGTTATAAACCATTCGAGGATCCGGGCCACTTCCACGTGATCTAGATCGCATCCCTCGTAACAGTTTCATTTGGTAATTAGTATTTTTTCTTCTTTTATATTTTATTTATCTTTCTTTTTTTGTTATAAACAATTCTGATTTCTTTAATAATTTAATTCGAAAAAAGAAAAAGGAATATATATATTTAATTATAATTATCGATTTTATTGATATTGAAATAATTCTTTGTTTTTATTATCAATAAAAGAATCGTTATTATATTAAAGATCTTTTTAATAAATATTGTTTGTATTATTCAAAATGTATATGAAATTCTGTTTTATATAATACTAAGTTTCATTTGGAAGATGATTGGGATTATGAAATTCCTTGAAAATATAATTGAGAGAGTTTTAATCGATAGATTAATAAATTGAATATTGAAATTACTAAATCTTTTATTAAGATTGTTTGTTTTGTTAAATAGAAAATATAATTCAAAAAATAATATAATGAAATATTATATTATAGATTCAAATATTTTGATGAATTTGATATTTTTAAAGAAAAAAAACAAAAAGAAAAGAATAAAGAAATTCTTATAATTCTTTTATTGTTCTTTGATCGATTTGATTAATTTGATTAATTTGATTAATTAATTTTTAATCAATTTGATCAATTATCAATTGATTTTATCAATTTCAATGAAATTCCTATAAACGAATTCGATTCTTTCGATTCTTCTTTGTAAGAAGTGATAAATTCATTTTCTTTTTGAGTAAATCTGGATTTAATCGATGAAATTTCTGGAACTTTTTTAGGTATTTAATTTCCTTTTTAAGTTTTTATGTATTTTTGAAGTCGAAGTAATCTTTTTATTTTATCAAGTATTTGATTTTGTTTTTAATATATTTGTAATCTAATATTTTCTTTATTTTGTATTTGATATTTTGATTTGTAGATATGATTTTTGTTTTGAAAGTTTTTGATACTTTTGGGAATATTAGTTTGAGTAGGGATATATGGAATATTAGATATATGTTTATACTTTTCGGTAATGTCAATTCATAATTTAAGAATCCTTTAACTTTTTTGATTTTGAATAATCCAAGTTTCTTGTAATTCAATTTTGTATTAGATCTTTTTGTTTCGATATTTTTTCGAAATAGATAGATTTTATCTTTCTCTTTTAATATTGATTTTTGATTACATTTTCGATTATAATAATATATGTTTTTTTTGATAATGAATTTCAATTTTATTGTTATTTTTTTATAGATTTCTTTAAGTTTTTTTATTTGTATTATTGTAGATTAATTTTCTATTTTTGTGATCTTTGATTTGCAATATATAATTAATTTGTATTTATAATTGATATAATTTGAAGTGATTTGTATTGCTTTTGATATTGAATTGTTATATATAAATTATATTAAAGATAAGAGTTTTATTCAATTGTTTTGTTAGTAATTTATATAGTATTGAAGATAGATTTTGATAATTTGATTTATTCTTTTATTTCCTTTATTAATTTATAAATAAAATATTATAAATATTTTCCTTTTTATTTTTAATAATATTATTAAAATGATTTAAAATTTCGATATAAAAAGTTTATCTTTATTAAAAAGTATTTCTTTTAGTAATTTATATATTATAATGATTTCTTTTAGAAATATAAAGATTAGTATTTTTATAATTAATATTGTTTAATATAATATGAGTATTAGGTATTTTGTTAATTTGTTTATTATGATGAAAAGATAATTATATATTATTTCTATTATTGAATCCTTGGATTTTAATAATGAATTTATAAAGTTTTATAATATTGATTTTTATAATATAAATGATATTTTGATAATATTTATTTATTTATAAAAAGTATAACAGAAAGTTTTATTTCTAATATAAATATTATATTTAGTAATCATTTTATTAATTATATTGTAAAATTCTGGATTTCAATATTGTTTTTTGATTTTTAGATATATTCTTTATATTTCTTGATATTTATAAATTGATAATATATATTATTTTGTGATATATTCAAGAATAATATTATTTGATAATTATATTTTATTTTTTATTTGAAATAATCCTTTAATAGTTATTGATAGTTTTGATTATTTGATATTTTTCTTATTCTATTATATTTTTATAAATTTATCTTTTTAGATTTCTATTGGTTTATTTTCTATAATAACGATTTCTATTAGATTAAGGATAAAATCTTTATTTGATAAGGATTTCAAAATTATTATTTTTTGGTAGATTTTATTGTTTTTGTAATTTGATGGTTTGTTTAAAGTATTTGTTTTTGTATTATCTTTTTCTTTGATATATTTGATTATTAAATCGAATTTTGTTAATTCCTTAATTTATCTAGTTAATTTATAATTATTTAAAATCTTAATAATAATAAAGATTCAAAGATTTATATAATTAGTATAAATAATTATTAGGAATTTAGTTTTTTGAAGATAGATTCTTTAATATTTTAATATTTTTATAATAATTATAAATTCCTTTTTGTAAATATTATAATTTTGTTTTGTTTTGTCTATTTTGTTCGAATAATAAACAATAAAATGTAGTTTCTTATTATCGTTTTTTTGTAGATAGATTTTTGTTATATAGATATCAAAGATATCTATTTCGATAATATTTTCTTGATTATTATAATAATTGTAAAGAATAAATTCCTTTATAAATCTATCTTTGATTTTCTGAAAAGCTTATTCTATTTTTTTATTTTATATAAAAGTTATTCTTTTTTTGATTATTTCGATAAGAGATTCTATTATTTTCGAGAAATCTTTTATAAATATTCAATAGAAATTGATGAATCTTAATATAGATTATATATCTTTAATATTTCTGAATCGTTTTTAGTTTCTTATTTTCTTTATTTTCTTAGAATTTATATTTATTTATCCTAATTGAATAATATATTCTAG